TAAGTTTTGTCGTAAATCAAAAGACCTAAAGTGGGAATACTTAATGATAAGGTCATCCCCTATCTAACCGTACCGCTACAAATTACGGGAGTTACTAGGAAATTCTGCCACAGATATTTAGGGAAAATCGATCATCATTGTAACTGCCAGTAAACCGAATTCAACCCTGATATGTGCAACTTTTATAGTAGTTATAGAACAAAAATAAACTGAAACCGTGAGACAACCTGATTATCTCATACATCAACACCGTTAATTATGATATATTTTTCACATCCTTAGCGCATGCGCTCTTTATTGGGTTTACAATACAACTCTTTACATCTTCAACAGCAGATAAGGTTCTACCTCAGATCACTTCAACTGTTTACACAATGTAGTTATGATGATCTAATCGCGCACCATCGTTACACATTGTAGAATATAACAGTACAAAAAAATCGATTCCTGTACCTGATATCACTGTATAAACAGACTTAAAGGGTACACCGGATACTGACAACGTTGTTCGGAATTTCGATTCCCTGCAAAGGCTGGTGTGATATAACTCTATTTATCTACAGATCGTTATTGAAGTCACTTGATGCCATCTGGTAAACTTTATTAGAAAAACAACATGGAAATATCAACATGTGAACACAATCATAAAAATGAATTAGAATATTTAAATTAAATATATAAGGTTAAAAGTAATGCCAGAAACTAAACTAAGTCCCTATTTATTGTACCGTATTATAATACATTTCACTTAGGCACAGTTACGCAGAAGTTGTAAGGGACGTAGTCCCAGCGGGAATATATCTATAAACATGGCCGTACAAACACACACGAGTGAATTTAGTTAGAATAAAATACAGTAGAAACAATCAATGAATTAGATTCGTCCTTCTAGGACTCATCACTGATAGCACCTGGGAAAATCCAATGATCGACTGTTATGACCAAATTTAGATGGGGAGTGCCCTAGCCAAGTTATTCAATAGATTTCGTGTTTTCTTATGTCTGATTATTCAAAAAGAATGTCCAGTGCAGGTTTATATTAAACGTAGTTTTAACTTTGTTAACATCACATGAACGTGTACCATTTGAACAGGAATTTCCTGGTGATGTTGTTGATGAAATAGGAGACGTTTACTCTTCCAGCACACATGGTCTCATTGATAAATTTAGTGATTGGCTTTAAACTTCGAACTTTTCGATGGAACATCGAAAAGTTCGAAGTTTAAAGCCGATGATGTGGCTGTATTCATTATTTGGCTCTGCTTTATCTCGATCTGAAAAAAAACCCATTTCTGTTTAATGCCTTATTGGTATAGTGTAGTGGGTTTAAAAACATTCCGTTTATATTACGCATACCTTACACAAATTATGATATTTGATATTGCATTGATTAACTGATCTACAACACTTACTCAGACGTCGTCATAGAAACAACAGGAAGATAAGAACATTTCAACAGAGTGTCAATTTAATCTCAAAATGGCAGACACAAGGCAAGAATATCCCTATCTAAAAATGGATAATTCATAACAGGACCATTACGTTGTCGTACAGCATAGTGGAAGGTTGTTTTCATTTCGTTGTAGGTTTGAGTTAAACGGTTAAAATAAAAAGGTAGAACACCACACGTTCATCAAAAGAATAAAATGGCCTGTTATTGACACATTACTATAACCTTATATCTATAAAAGCTGGTTTTGTGATTTGTCTCCTCCTGGCCACTTACTGTTATTAACGCTTTATCTAGCTTAAAACTAACGAATACCTTCTAAAATAAGACAGAATACATGTGTATTAAAATGTCTAAACGGATAAAGATTTTTTTCTTTGATCTAAAGTGCTGATACGTGAAACTCTTACTGAAAGCTATTGATTCTGTAGTCGTGCATACCTGTACCATCAGCAGATACCGTACAATGTACAACCACTTCAGTCGTTATTAAGGAAGAATGATGAGCCAAGTCACGAGTATTGTATACAATATGTGGGTACTTGAATCAAATGTTATATGTTCATGTGAAAGGTTGACCTTTTATTTAACGCAGTGTAGACATTCTACCAAAAAGGATTCAATTTTTGCGGAAGAAAATCTTCAACTTGTAGATAAAAAGATATATCGAACCGAGTAAAATGCAATGTACTGTTTAGCGGTATATTTATTTGACTCGTACCCATTTTTCAATTTTTTAACGTATTTTGGGTAGACTGCACTCTTCTCAAACATCTAGCTATTTCATGGTTTCTTAGTAATATAGTGCCAGTTATCTCCCCTACCATGTTGGCTACATTCCAAGCACTCCATTATATGCAGAAAGAAACCATTTTACACTTAACAATCCCATCAATTATCATCAGCTTTACATGCCTGATCTCAATTATTACAGTAGTTTACATTATATGAGATATTTTCCATTGAATTTTCAAATTAAATGTTTGGATATGGAAAGTTTTGCTTCACCTCTGCACTACCTCAATACGGCCATCAACACCTACCCAGATGTGCTGTTAACTTGAGACTGACTTAAAAGTTAAGTGATTTCTGTTGATTGTAATTTATCGCGAGTTACTCATTTCGAATGAGAGACTGATTGATGTCCTCGCCTGTGTTGGTGTCCTATGTGTATCAGACAGTATTTACCTCAGTGAGTCACAGAGTAAAACGTCCCCTCGTGATAATGGAATGCGTGTTAAGGCAACAAGGTCCGTTAAAACACGATATTTTCTGAAACATTGTAATTGTATGAAGGAATTCTACTTTTTGTTTGAAGCGATTTAATAATTTCTTGCCCTTCTGCAAGTGTGTCTGTTTTTTTCTCTTTTTTAATCAAATCTCGCGTTTGAATGAGGATTTCATATTGATATTTTCTACTTGTTCTAGTAGGGTGTTATGACATATTTGTTATTATACGTTCACCGTGTGGTTTAACTATCCTTGTGAGATAATGAGGGTAATTGTTTCTTTGTGTTGGTGAAGGTCATTTTTTTATCTATTGGTGAGCTGTCATGTGACCCTGGCGTTTTGACACGTCTTTTTTCGATTTGTCTTGCATTAAAACTGGTTTTCACTTTGTTTTCGCTTTTATATACTCATTTATATATTCATTTGATTAAAAACTAATTTCAGATGAAGTAATTAGAATACTGTTCGACGACCTTGATATGTGGAATATTTTCTCGTTAAGAGTTAATGAAAAAGTATAATGAAAAAGCCCATAGTTTGTTAGGCGTGAAACTTTCCCTTTAAGAAAAAGTGAACTGTACAGCATTACTAAGTGCTACACCTTAAAACTGTGCAGTATATGTGTAAACGGATGTACGATATCTTAAACATTGGACATGGCGACCAGGTAAACATTTTACTATATCATGGTGGTATTTTTGGTTATAGAGTTTCTGAAATCTGCTTGTCTCATTGAGCTTCATTAGACTGACGTTGACAGAGAGCAAGCAGCTTGATACAAATGAGTGATGACATTTTCTGTTTTCTGTCCAGTTATGTCGCCAACGCTTATAACATTCCTAGTACTCACAGTTGTTGTTAAGCTCTGTTGTCATATATATGCGCTCTACAAAATCTGTATAATGTAATGTAAAACCAAGGTGTGTGGGGAGGGTGCGTAAAACCAAGGTGTGTGGGGAGGGGGCGTAAAACCAAGGTGTGTGGGGAGGGGGCGTAAAACCAAGGTGTGTGGGGAGGGGGCGTAAAACCAAGGTGTGTGGGGAGGGGGCGTAAAACCAAGGTGTGTGGGGAGGGGGCGTAAAACCAAGGTGTGTAGAAAGGGGGCGGAAAACCAAGGTGTGTGGGGAGGGGGCGTAGCTTAAAAATTCTAGTAAAACACTCAATACAAAATACCACTGAACTAGTATTAGTACACTACAGTGCCAACGGGTACAATCACACAATACCACCAAATCGCACGTAACGAGGTAAATCACAGAGGTAACAGGACATACTACACCACAGTGTCAACACTTCATCAAAATATACTACAGCGTCAAATATAAAATATATCAAAATATTCATTCTGGGATTTAATCTAAAGTGTGCCCATACTTTTGTAGCTTTCGGGAACCTCACAAGCGTTTCCCTTAGATGTTTTAAGTTTAAACGTTTTTGTATATTAATTAATTTCAAACCTACAGACATGGAGTCTATATCTTTGAACACATTCTAGTTAATGTGACATAGACGGGTTGTTACTGTTGGTTTCGTCAGATCAGTAGATATCGTCTATACATAACACGTGCATCGCGTGATTCTTTGATGAACCCTTGCAGCGCTTGTAAGCGTTTAATTGTGGTGTCTTTATACAGGCATGTTTACAGTTTGATACAGACACAGACCTACAGGTCTGACAGCATACAGCACACAGGATTGTACTATCTTATGTCAGCTTAACTCTGTCACATAACATGGGATGATTATATGGGTTTTCAAATTATTTACAATGTAACTACATTCACCAGTCTATCATTGAAATTATTAACGTACAATGCAACTTCCTGCATCAATTTATCATCGAAATTATTTACGTACAATGTAACTACCTGCACTAATTCATCACTGAAATTATTTGTGTACAATGTAACTACCTGCATCAATTATTGAAAATATTTATGTACAATGTAACTACATTCATCAGTACATCATTGAAATTCAAACCGTCTGTGAAACAAAAGTAACCATGACAATTCAATTTGATATTTGACCTTGTGTTATGACTTTAAACGTTGAGTTTCCTTTTTACGTTAGTTTTACTTTCATTAGTGACGTGCGTTTGTTTTAAGTATTGGACGATAAAATACATTCAATGTTGCGATTAAATCTGATGATGTCTGGATGTCTGAACTGATACCTTGATGTTGTGTGGAGTTGAAATAAAGCATAGTAAAGCACTTTTGTAAGAGGTTATAACTTTAAGTGGACCACTTTGACGTAAACAATTAGACTACATCTCATCACAAAAAGTATAATAATTTTTTATTGTTGTGTGTTTCAGACAAATCAACCCCACAGAATCCAACGAATTGCTCAATGGCAACGACATCAAGGTAAGTTAATGGTTCTAATAAATCTTTCATGGTGAGATATCTTTATACTCTAGCAACTCTCCTTTTGTCTTCACACACAAAGATTTAATGGTAAACATGTAAAGTATCCCCTTGTCTTTAGAATCAACATGCGCAGAATTTATCAGAACCATGTACATCGTAATAGAAGAGACTTCCAAACAGTATTACATAAATATTCACCTTGCCTAATTATCCCTGTTCTAGTATCCTCGTTTACTGTCCAAAGTTCGTCAAATACTCTGTTACAAGGATAGATGGACAACGACGTAACAAGCAAAATATTTAGGTATGTTACATAATGATAGTAAATACATTTAGGTACATTACACAGTGATAGTAAATACATTTAGGTACATTACACAGTGATAGTAAATACATTTGGGTACATTACACAGTGATAGTAAATACATTTAGGTACATTACACAGTGATAGTAAATATATTTGGGTACATTACACAGTGATAGTAAATACATTTGGGTACATTACACAGTGATAGTAAATACATTTAGGTATATTACACAGTGATATTAAATACATTTAGGTACATTACACAGTGATAGTAAATACATTTGGGTACATTACACAGTGATAGTAAATTCAATTAGGTATATTACATAATGATAGTAGATACATTTAGGTATATTACATAATGATAGTAAATACATTTAGGTATATTACACAGTGATATTAAATACATTTAGGTACATTACACAGTGATAGTAAATTCATTTAGGTACATTACACAGTGATAGTAAATTCAATTAGGTACATTACACAGTGATAGTAAATTCATTTAGGTATATTACATAATGATAGTAGATACATTTAGGTACATTACACAGTGATAGTAAATACATTTAGGTACATTACACAGTGATAGTAAATTCAATTAGGTACATTACACAGTGATAGTAAATTCATTTAGGTATATTACATAATGATAGTAGATACATTTAGGTACATTACACAGTGATAGTAAATAAATTTAAGTATATTACACAGTGATATTAAATACACAATAATGGTTATTTACATTTATAAAAAGACATCGCCATCTTTTTTTCAAATTCTATTACATAAATTAAGATTTTATGAGCATTTTTAAAGTTATGTTAATTATATGTAAATATAACTGGGTTAGATATGATGACTTCTTATTGCTATTACTCCTAACTCTGTATAATGATTATTTTAAAAGATCTGAGGTCATATTGGTTGAACCTAAACAGATATTCGCTACTCTTGCCTGATGGATCCTGTTTCAGTAACACTATAAGCATAACGTTTTTAATCTTAATTAGTAAGCACTTCTGTACCACAATACTGAGATAGTATTTGTGCAGTGAGAACACTACTCTGCAGTAGGCCTAGTGATTCATTAACACCAATTTTATGAAGATTGTTCTTAACTGCGCCGGAAGGGATCAATAACACGCCCCCTGTCGTCCAACTCGATTACCGGAAGAAATCAATACACCGCCCCCTGTCGTCCGACTCGATTAGCACATCGCCTTCTTGCATTACTGCTACCTGAAAATTGAGAAAGCGTGCGCGAGGATTAGCGAGTGTTAATAACACATGTCAGGCGATTTCCTTAACGTTACTGGAATTTAAACGTCATTTTAATCAGTTCATTTGCGATAAAACCTCCATTTTCTCTCAGATCACTATTTTTCGGAGCTATATATTGTTTTAATTGTATATCACTTTGTATGTCCCGTACTGATGATGGTATTCAGTAAATTGTGTGTAAATATACCTCCATTGTATATTGATCCTTCGAGAGGCTATGAATTTTCGATTACTGCATATTTTCTGCCATGCATAAACAAGCATCCTTAGCGCTTTAAAGTGTTACAACGAGTATATAATCGATCACTTCTTTTGTAATGATGCTTTCGTTAATTTTTGCCGTCGTTGTATTGAATTTGAGTTTATGTTTAGTTTTGTCCGTCATCTTTTGTTATTATTTTTTTGATAATGATTTATGTATATATTGCTGATCAGAAGCGTTGTTTGTATGTAGAGTGATATGTAAGTAAATCCAATGAGGTAAAACAGTATGAAAGTAAGGAAAAATCAATCCGAGTTGTGGAGTTTATTTTCCACTTAGCTTGTAAAGCATGAATGGCGTCGATGAAGAATCCAAGTCGTGCTTTAAGAGTGCTATAAGTTCCATGGATATTCCATATGAATGAGTAACCCAGTGTATACATTCCCTTCCTTTCCAGTCCAACATTGATTCTATTATACTCTCCAAAACATATCCATTCATATTCTGGGAAAGAAATTTTACAGGGCTGTACATTTTTCTCCGATTTCCATTCTACCTATATAATACCAGACTCAGAGATGTACGTTATTTTATAGATCTGTATATGCTGTAAATTCGTATGCCATCATCTGCGTTCATCGCCATTCTTAAACAGTCAATAAGATCACGGCTATCTACAGCCAGCCCATTTATTATCGCCGACTTCACCTGCCCTATATATTTACCGATGACATGTATAATACATTTCTTCCAATTATATATAAGGATATGAAATCTGTTCTCGTTTGTGACGCACCCATGGTATAGTCTGTAATGAAAAGAGAAGCCAGCGGAAGCTTTGATGATTTAATGCTATCTGCACGGTGCTGATCAATCAGTGCTGACAGCTGTGATGGAGAGTTGATACCCTTCTGGGAAAATGAGGGCAACATCCAACATTGTTTAAGCTCGACTTCACGACAAAATAGTAATTGTTAATCAAATCAAGAATTTAATTTTGATTTAATACATTGTGTCGGTGGCGGGTACAACAATGGCGTAGAATGTTGGCACCATTTGTGCAGAACTGCAGATAATGGCAAGCCATGCAACACATACGTCGTTTTTCTCCTTAAAACAAGTTTCCTATATTGTTCACACAACCTTTATTGATATGTCAGAATGCCATTTAGGCGAAAAGTGAACAAGGTACGTATCTTGTAAAACTAGTGGAAAACGCTGTATTTCATTTGATGAAAGAACAATTATCCAAAGCGTTCATAGCATAATTTGTAAAAACTTACGGGTAACGTGACATTGCATCTTTATCCTTAACTTTCCGGTTAAGAATTGCTACATGTGTTACCCTGAGATTTCCGTGAGTTCTTATCAGTTTTACAGTGAGTGTTACTATGTATCTTTGTGGCCGTACTATACTAGGACTGCTACTGTATTTGTCTATAGTCTTGGATTGCTTTGAGTGTTACTATGTATCTCTATGGCCGTACTATACAAGGAGTGTTACACTGTATTTGTCTATAGTCTTGGATTGCTGTGAGTGTTACCATGTATCTGTGGCCGTACTATACTCGGAGTGTTACACTGTATTTGTCTATAGTCTTGGATTGCTGTGAGTGTTACTATGTATCTTTGTGGCCGTACTATACTAGGACTGTTACTGTATTTGTCTTGGATTGCTGTGAGTGTTACTATGTATCTCTGTGGCCGTACTAAACTAGGAGTGTTACACTGTATTTGTCTTGGATTGCTGTGAGTGTTACTATGTATCTTTGTGGCCGTACTATACTAGGAGTGTTACACTGTATTTGTCTATAGTCTTGGATTGCTGTGAGTGTTACTATGTATATCTATGGCCGTACTATAATACTAGGAGTGTTACACTGTATTTGTCTTGGATTGCTTTGAGTGTTACTATGTATCTCTATGGCCGTACTCTACTAGGAGTGTTACACTGTATTTGTCTATAGTCTTGAATTGCTGTGAGTGTTACTATGTATATGTGGCCATACTATACTAGGAGTGTTACTGTATTTGTCTATAGTCTTGCTGTGAGTGTTATTATGTATCTCTATGGCTCCTGACGATATTGATTGCTATTGACAACACACTGGTCGCCTCATTAACACCATCATTGTATAATATGGCTGCTGGAAATGTTACGCTGACATGCCAGAAAAAAACCAATGTAATCACGTTTAATGATGCGATGTCGAATGCAGATAAAAAATAAAAGAAATAAATTTTTTTGTAAAAAGTTTATAATCAAATGTGTGACGTGATTCCCTAACTAATATGGTTGTCTTTCTGGCTTTTTCTATTTCGTATTTGCATTATTCACTTCAGAAAATGAATATTTTAAGGTGTTTTTACAGTATACAAAACTTTTATATATACATAAATCTTATGTAAGCCTAATGTATTAAATATGTTGTATAAATCACTGTAGTCTATACTAAATCAGGTCGTCAGTGCCATTGTTAAAGCATTGTTATCGTAGTATAAAATCGATATTGATGTCTTACCGAAAACAAAGGTAGCTAATTATGTAATAAATAGCAACTATTATTGAAGTGTATTACCATCAAATTGTTACGGCTGGAAAATAAGCCTACAGGAATCTTTCCCATCTTACCAGACGAGGGCCTATATTCCTCCTCTTCGAATCCACTTAAATTGGCGCCATTTTGCTAAAACGTCAAATCCTCTTACAACTGTCAATCATTGTCTCGGGAACGCTTGATTTCGCCCTGGTTTCCACGATACTTTCAGGAAAAATTAATTCGAAAGAAATGTAGATTTGCTGTAGGCTAGAATGTGTCAGATGTTGTCTAGATGGTATTGGCAAACACAAAATGGAGTCTACCGCCTTCTCAATCCAGACTGATGTCGACAATGACCTCCTAGACACCTGTGCGCAGGTAATTATGAAAATGTTAATTTGTGTACAAATGTTATTCACCTCCTTAATATCAACGTTTGACGATGACTCCAACATGTATGTATAATAGTATGTTACCAAATTTTCTAAATAACATTAACATTTGTAAGCTTCATCACATTAGGTCAATGCGTATGATCTTACACCTCACATGATAATATGGATTTAGAATCGGTGATGTGTGTTTGACATTCGACCTAGATTTTATTAAACCACAAAAACGTTATGATTTCGAGTATATTGATAGCTTAAAGTTCATGTCTTGT